TGTTAGGACCCTGCTGGTCACAGTTATTCTGCGTAATAAAAAAAATACATATTGAACATTGGATACAAGACTAATATTCATTAAACTAATAGCTATTTCATTTGAATTGTATCACTTTTCACTTTTTTTGTAAATTACATTGTCTTATTATATTATACGCGGCATTGATAATACAACAAATGAGATCAATTATATCAAGGAAAAAATATTTGAGAGACGGAATAAGTATATGACTTTCGAATAAGATAGGAGAAATGAATCAAATTAAGAAATGCTATATTCACTATCTTAATTAGTAAGAAAGCAGGAATATCATTTCTAACTTTTGTCGAAGGTATTTACTGCAGTGCCACTTCATCTAATTAGGTTTTTTTTTATGATTTTTCTCTCTCCATAAAATAGCGTAAACAAATATCTATAAAATCTTAAGTATTTTTTGTCATGCATTAACAGAATAAAACTTCTGTCTCCTATTTTACACGAAGTCTCATTTGTATTAAATGTAAAATGATTGTATAGTAATATAGTTACGAAGTATTAAGTTTTAAGCTAGATGTATGTAGCTCATTGGTTATCGTAACATAAGATGTTGGGTATTAAACTTGCATCGTATTTCCTTACTGTTATTTTTCTATTATGAGAATGTCTATAGGATACGTGCTGGAAACAATACTTTTCTGAATACAGACTTCATCTCGAGATACTAATTTTCTCATTGATATCCAAAAAGTTTTTCTTTTCATAGGAAAACATTTTCTAATATATCAGTTTATACTTATCATCTAAAGTAGACGACCAATCTAAACTCGAAGATTCTACTTATCAGAGCTTAAGTTTGCGAGAAAACTTCGCAGAAGAAACTATAAGGCAATGGTTAATCGATGAGTATTTTACATGTAAAAGATATATTTACGAAGGTTTTTATTTTTATGAAGGTAAACAATTTTCAACAGTTTAACTTCTCCTATATAATTTTGGACATCCGAAAAAAAGAATTGATCTCATATCTTAAGATCAGAAGGTCATTTCAATATGTACGATCCACAGATACATGCGACAAAAAAAACAACATACTCTTTTCTAAAGTAAGAAAATGTCTATCAGACTAATATATAAAATAGAAAACGTGTTCATAAAGTTTAGTCTTCTATTGATGAAATGTGCAGAGTAGCATTAGCATAAGACAAAAACAGAGTAAAATAAAGTCATAGTGAAGAAAAATGTCAGACTCACGGAAGAAAAATCAAAAATTTCGTTCTTCATTGTACTTCAGCACACTCGAAAGGCATGTCAAAGTTATCCTCTAGAACCTTTCTGTTTTTGCAATTTGATCTTATTCTTCTCCGAAGAAGTAGATTGACATCGCAAAGTAGATAGTTCTCCACCCAACGTCTACGAACTTCGAAGAACCGCTGTCCTTTCAAGTTCTTAAATATTCATAAATCAACTTCAGGAGTCCGAAATATTAAGTATGTAATTGTCAACAATATAACTTGCGGAATATATTAGTGGGATTCGGTTATTATCAGAAATATTGCACCCAATGAGTCTTTCTCAAAAGTTAAAACTATCTAATACATACTACTTGTGTAGATTTCTTGTTATTGTACTATTCTAGAGTTTAAGTTTATCAGTAGATTATAATGGCTTCATACCTTCAGAAGTATGTTTCTCAAACGGTCTGGATGCATCTGTTCCATTGAGAATTGCTTCATCTTTATAAAGATTTTTGATCTCATTATCATGCACAATTTCATACACATCACTCAATTGACTATATACAGATTTCTTTCTTTTAGTTCGGTCAAAGTTTGCTATCGTCTCTAAGAGTGACTTTTTGGAATCATAATGGTCTCTTCTATAAAGCTGATCTTATCGCTAATATTGCTTATCATCGTAGCAGCCACCATCATAGTTCCAGTCGTTGTGCATTTTCGGCCAAAAAAAATGCAAGTTACACTATCAAGTAGGACTTTCCTTATTGTTCAACAAATATTCAAGTTTACTCATTTATTAGATGAAACAATAACAGAAAGAAGCACTTCAATCATTTCAACAATAGTAAACGGTAACTAAAAATGCTTATGAAAATCAATGACACTCAAACCGTTCGGAGACTGCCCATTAACTACGGTTCTTCTAATTGCTTATATGCTTTTGTATCTCAGCGTATAAATATTTTTAAACTCTTAGAAAAAAGATTAAATTTCAGTCGAAACGGAATCCCTCACTATTGTCATGGCGTCCAAGGCCGTGACACGACAGTTTTCCACATAACACTACTGTAGCAACACTCATATGAGCTGTGGATGTCGGCTGTAGATGTGCATGTTTTCTCCTGAGCGTCACATAACCTTACTTGGATGCGGGTGATGATGCCCCTGTGACTGTAGGTGTGAGTGTGAATCTAAATGTAACTCCGGAGGAAACATCTACATCTATACCTACAGCCTGCGTTCACAATGCATTGAAATATCGTTACGGTGATGTAATGCAGAAAAATGTCATTGCGCAAAAGTATCGTGCGCGGAACTGTCGATGAACCACTCAAGCTGTCTGTACTAATTACATCAGCTGTTGCCACTTACTTGTCCAGTTTGATTATTTATTGAAGATGGCTCCACAAAATATAAAAAAACTCACTGCCAAAGGAGTAAACTGTTCGAATCATTGACTTTGATAAAAAAACCTGACGCCATAAGACTTAAACAATGGACTATTTTCCCCACTGTTAACGTTTTTATGCTCTCAAAAATACGTAACTGTTCGCAATATTTACTTGGAAGAGGATTATTTCTTATCGAACCATCCTTGAATGAAAAGTAACTTTTACGATTTTGTTTTTATTATTTTTGCATTTATAGTGTACTTAAATCTTTTCCAAGTAAACGATGTAAAAAAGAGAAGTTGTAACTGTTATTAAGAGTTTTCATAAGATCCGGCAACATTAAATCTCTCTAGCAGAAAAATTATTCACCCTCGGTTCACTGTATAAAAATTGTTATACATGCAACAAAATAAGAACCCATGATAATTGCTCAAGCGACACTTGCTCTGACACGATACTTTACTAAAGCTCCTGCCAACCAAAAACTCAACAGCAAATATATTAAAACTAGATGTGCAAGTCTCTTTCATCCTAAAGACTAAGCTTTATAGTTACAGCAGTTTCATGTTATTTTGATTTCTTTTGAACGAGCTACGTTTTAAAATCTACAACACTCTTTGTAGTTCATTTTCTATCTGTTAACTTTTCCCTCTTCTATAGGTCTCTCAACAAGTACGGTGATTTCTCCAACTACAACATCCATTCGTGTGACAAATACTACAACCATAACCGCTGTTGCCATGGTAAATTCTCCCAGTACAACACTCATTGGTAAGATAAGCAGTACCAGTAACGATGATGCTGGAATAGAAATTGAATTCACTTACATGTATTCTTCTCCATTATTAATTATTCTTGCACTCAAGAATTAAGTCCTATAGTGATCTATATTTGATATATGAATTATTACTTAGAAAAGTTCGAAATTCTGTATGAATTAAGGTACTTTTCTTCCTTCAAAATGTCACATTTCAGTCTATCACGCCTTATTCCAAGTGTTGAAATCATCTATTGATATCCTCAACACATTTTCATCTCAGAAGATAGTATCCATTATGAATTATTTCTGTCGACAATGGACGTTAACAATGTAACAGATACATTAATTAACGTATATTACTTTTTATTCCAAGATATCATGCTTATTTTCAAATAATGTTGTTTATTATCGTTTCATGTAGTTTTTAATGTCAGTGAATTTTAATTCATTGATTTGGTAGGAGTCGACTCACGATTGCAATTAATCGTATCACAGAAATCTCTAGAAACGGTCACTTACTTCCCATTATTCTAGTAACCGATAATGATCTGACAGAAAAAAAAAACATATTTTTTTCTCGAGATGTTCAATTTTAGAGAAACTGTCGTATACTCAACAAATGTACAGAAAGGTTAAGTTTCTTCATAATTCACCATATCGAAATGAAAGCTTATCTTTTTATTAATACGTGTTAAAACATTTTATTGACCTTGGAACCGGTATCAGTAAAGAAATTTAAATTGAAACTCTGAGGTTTAACTTTTCTGTAATTATTTTTCGAATTGTCGAACAATTGATGGCAAGGTTCAATTTTTTATACCATTTCTATCGGTGCGAATCATTTTAGGCTTTCGCTCAGATTAATGCCTCTCACATATGAATGAAAAATTACTCAAACACGGAATGAATCAGTTAAAAATATTGCCTTGCAAGTGATCGAACTTCGGTAGTCAGTATCTGGCAATGTAGAGTAGTTTTGTAATCGAATTTGCAATTGTTTGATCGAGATTATACCAATCAAGATCGATTTGAAATGTCCAGTAAAGAGTCATGCAATTGTAATATTGCAGTGTCTTTTCAATAAGATGTTTTCAAGTAAATCTTATATAATTCTAAGTTGAATTTTGCTTTAATCTAGAATATTGTTTATATAACTAAATGGACACCAGCAATATTCATAAGTTCCAAAGGCATGTTCAAAGCTATCGTGAAGTTCTTTTTCTTTTTCATACGGATGACATTTTCGTCGATACTCATAATGCGATCAAATTTTCAAGTCTCATGATCCATATGACCTCTAAGAGTCACACAGATTCTGAAGTGCCAGTTACAAAATTTTTGAAGCTACAGCAAGAGCATTCCCATTTTCCACAAGATAGACTTATTTTTCGAGTTTTTGGTACCAAGATGATGTTTCTTTTCCCTCTCGAATTTAATATGAACACGTTTCAGTAAAAGAGAACTAAAAACGGAAAACTTTGATTGTTCTTTGTAATTCCAATAGGCATTTCATTAATGGCGGTGCCGACATATTCATCAGTTTTGACTTTCAATAGTCCAACATTCTGTCATAGAACCGACAATTGCTTAGATTCACCATTTTTCTATGAAGCTATTCAATTAAAGATTTTCATGGATGGAAATTACGGGATTCTATGTAATAGTAGCATGGATACATATGGTTATTTATACAATAATACTTTTGATCCTGCTTATCCAACTATGAATATCTTAGCAATAGATGATGATAGTGGTGGCTATTACCAATTTATGTTCACAATAGTCCTTCAAACTTTATCCCAATACATATTGGTTGTAACAACATTTAATAAAAATGTCACAGGTCCATTTACAATCACTGCAGTCGGTTTGGCATCGGTTGAATTTTCTCGAATCAATATATCAAGTAAGACTTCAATGTATTTCAGAGGACTTATTTCATCAAAGAAAATAGTCATCGCTAGATGAATCTTGTACAGTGAAAGAGACTATATTACATTTTATCGTATAGTACTCGATTCAAATTGACAAATTTGATAGTTTTCCTCGATTTGTTTTTCATTAAGTTTATGAGCGACTTTACAAGATAACAAATCTTTTTGTTTTACATTGGGGAAAAAATTGTACAATGACAGTGTCAATTTTTCTGCTCGATATCATACAAAGTACCAATGGAATAACACAATTTAATTTTGAAGAGTCAAACTTTACCAAAGTCAATTGTGTATAGAGTATAGTATGTCTTGAACAAATACTAACACTATAAAATTACCTTAAGGGAAGGTCCAACGAGACGACCTACTAAGCATGCACAAGAAAATTCTTTTATTTTGAATTAAGTTTTACGATGAGAATGCCTGCGAAAAGTTATGCTAGAACTCAAGCTTCTGGTTTTTGCTGAGAAAATCCTACGAAGAGATATAAAGAATTAATTGAACTCACTCTGTGGTATTATTTTATGAATTTTCATGAATGGCAGAGAATTCCATTTAACATTTCATGATAACATATATATTGGTATTGAAGATCACCCTTGTCTAGAATTATTTAACACATTTTAATAAGACCTATGAAATGCACCAGCATAGAACAAGATTATAAAATATAAATTGCGTTTAAACAGTATCTAATGTGTCATGTTTTACTCAAAGTATAGATAAAAATGATGAGTTTCATTTTCAGCACAAATAATGGCCACTAGAGGTTTGTTGTTTTTTCTGTTTTACGCGAAGTTCTATGATAATGGCGTTAATAAAAATGTATATATGATTTCAAATTCGTTTCCAGTGCCAAAATATTAATCCATCACTCTATCGAAGGCTATCTTATCACTATCAGTAAATAATTTCAAAACCATAGTATCTCGTGATCTCCAAATACCCTCTACTCATTGAAAGCGAATTTGCTTTTAGGCTTCTCATAAATGATACCTTCATTTCAAATTCATACTATTAGTAATATATATTTTCACCTTCAAGTTGTTGTTTTCATTTGAATGTTGTTTACATGAATTATACTTTTATACTATAAAGACTTTTACTACTCGCTGTAGTTAATGTATTCATTGTAAATATATATTTATTTTGACTATTTCTAATTCAATTCATTAATTTAACAACTGATCATGTATAATTATTTGAAATATGAACATGAAAAATATTGGGATCCGAAGCTAGGTCTAATCATTGATGTTTGTGTGTGTGTGTCTGTGAATATAAATGTGAACCTTCAGTTGACTTAGAACCCAACAATTCTTCTCGAACGTTCCTTCGATGAAAAGCAAATTTTCCGATATTGTTATTGTTTCGTGTTCATAGTATACTTAAATGTTTTCGAAGTAAATGATGTAAAAATGAGTAGTCGCTGTTGCTATTAAAAGAGAATGCGTAAGATGATTAAGTAACTGAGGCACTGGTTAAAAAGAAAGTTTTTGATTGTTTTTCCTGATTGAGCACTTCAGTGTTCAAAAACACCAACTTGCAAAATTAGCATTTAACAACCTTCCTTTCAAAAGTTATTTATCACCAACTTTTAGTAGTTTGATGACTTCAATGAAAGAAAAACAAAAAGATTCTCTACTGTGCAACAATGCCAGGGTGTGTCTCAATAAATCAGTAAAATTTTTGACGTTATATACCAGAATTCAGAGAATGAAAAGCTGATGAAAATTTGCTATTGGAATATAATATTTCATCTAGTAGCTCAAGTTTTATAAAGCTAATGTTAGTCAAAACCGCGTCTTTTTCAAAGTCGAAAAAGTTCACCATAACCCAATGCATCTGATACTGTGTTTCAGAGAAAAATTTTTCGAAAAGAAAGCAGTCTGGGACCACAGATCAGTTTCGGTGAGAGAAAAAAAAATTTCAATAAAATGTTGTTATTACATCAAGTTTTTAGCCATGACTCCGAATATCATATCTATTTTGCTTTCCAAGTATGTTGCGACAGTAAAAACTGATAAAAAAATTTTTTTTAATTGAAAAATCCATATCCACATCTTGTATGTATTGTGCAACAGTGCGGGATTTATCACAAAATGCTTACGGACTTTTTAAAAAGTCCGAATAAATCCAGAAAAAATAAGTCCCAGCAGCGGCTGAGATTTCAGTGATCTGTTGAGATGCAACCTGGCATTATTTTATTACAGTATTTTTTAGTTTTTTTTTTCATGCAAGTCATCGTAGTGCTAAAAGTTAGTCTTAACTAACTCTTCAAAGGCAGGGCATCAGAAGCTAAATGTTGGGCTGGTACTTTTGAATAGTGAAGCGCTGAATTAGCAAAAAGAAAAAAAAACAATTTTGTTTACGCAGTGCCCCTTGTATCGACATGGTACTTCATGGTCTTGCGCGTGCTCTCATAAAACCTTTGATTATAGCCACTATTAAGCAGAAAAACTTATTCAACCTTTGTTCACTATATGAAAAATTCTCCATATAAAACAAGACAAGAATTCATGATAATTCTTTCAGCAATACTTGCTCTCATTCGATACTTTACTAAAGCTCTTGCAAATCAAAATCTCAAAAGCATATATATTAAAACTCGATGTGCACGTCTCTTTCATCCTCAAGACTAAGATTTATAATTACAGCAGTTTCATGTTATTTTGATCCTTGTTGAACCTGGAAAGTTTTCATGTCTACAACAATGTTCGCATTTCATTTTCTATCTGTTAACTTTTCCCCATTTTATAGGTGGCTCAACAACTACGATGACTACCTCAACTACAACATCCATTGGTTGGACAAATACTACAACCACAACAGCTATTGGTATAATAAATACTACGAGAACAACAACAATCGGTCAGACAAATAGTATAACCACAACAACTATTGGTATGACAAATGCTACCAGGACAACAACCATTGGTAAGATAAGCAGTAGCAGTAACGATGATGTTGCAATAGAAATTTAGTTTACTTATACATTTTCTCCTCTATTATTAATCATCCTTTCACTAAAGAATTAAGTTCTAAAATGATCTATATTTGATATATAAATGGTTATTTAGAAAAGTTCAAAGTCCCAGACATCTGCGAATAAGTTCTGTATAAATTGAGGTACTTTTCTTCCTTCAGAATGTCACATTTCATTCTATCACGCCTTATCCTAAGTATTGAAATCATCTCATGATATTTTGAAAACATTCTCATCTCACAAGATAGTATCCATTATGAATTATTTCTATTGACAATGATCGTTTCAACTGTAACAGATCTATTAATTAACGTATGTTGGTTTTTTATTCCAAGATGTGATGCTAACTGATAGTTCTTTTGTCTTATTATTCCACTATACTCATTAACATCAAACCATGATGAAGCCGAGACAAGTATTACATTGACATAAACGACTTTATATGATTTTAAATGTTGCTGTATATCTTCGTTTCATAGAGTTTGTGATTGCACTGAATTCAAATTCACTGATTTGATAGGAGTCGATTCACGATAATATTTAATTATATCATAGAAACCTCTCGAAATCGATGACTCATTTCTCAATCCTCTAATAGACAATAATGTTCGAGTAGACTCTAAGCTATAGATGTCACTATTGAATCATCTACAACAGCACTTCATGCAAAAAAGCTTCCAAGTAGTTTCAATCAAGACTAGATATCCTTGACTGTATCATGTCACTTTCAATGATATTTCATTTATATGTCGGAGACATTAATCTTCCGAAATGTCTAAGAAGACTCGAGTTGATTGAACTTCTTTGGAAAATTATAATAACTTTGCTAATTTTGCAGCGTGGTCGAAAATAATCAAAGAAAACACGCACAAGATTATTTTATTGAAAAACTTGCTAAAATATAGCTCTCTGTCTCATTAGCATTTTGCAAAAGCTCCAATGCAACAGAAATCATATTTCCTTCTGAAGTTGTTGAAATTTAGAGAAGCCTTCCTATACTCGACAATGACACAGAAAGCTCAGCTTTATCATAATTGAACACATCGAAAACTAAACATCGCATAGGAGCAAAAAGTGACAGAGGACGGCCAACATAACTAGTCTCGAATGTCTACACTACCATCTGGTCTAGTCTGAGATGACCTACGATTCGTGAGGACTGGTAATCTTAACGGAGTGTGCCATGTAACTAAATATAGACTGCTCCAGACTGTGTCCACCACCTGTCATGACTAGTCCATTTTGTCCATTGATACTGTCCGGAGTCGTCAGTAAAACAGAAAGCCCAGAAAGATAGATGACGACAGGTGGATTCGAACATTGAACTCCATAGTATTGAATGTCTGACTAGTCTGAACTATTTTCAAAAGTGATATGAATTGGTGTGAAACGTCATCTTAATCGTCCATGATTAGTTCGTTTCGTATAGCTAGTGCTAACCTTGATCGAGAATAGTCTATATCCTTCAAACAGTTCATTTTACTTTGATCTTACTTTCCAGACAACTTTTTTAGACTGATTGATAGTGAAACGAGTAAATTGTGTAATATTGTGCTGGAACTTTTTAAGGGTTTGAATTATTTCTTATAATATCTAATTCAGAATTAGATGCTTTTATAATATAAAACACATTGTAAAATATTAATCATCGTGTTTTCAGTTTGTCATTTTCAATACAAAGAGTTTCTCAAAACGAACAGTTGCGAAAAGAGTTGATTGAATATTGGATAATATGCAAGTTATCAATTTTTATCAATCCATATAAAATAAGCATCGAGTAACTTTATGGGATAAAAACGTCATATTTTTTATACTAAAGCTACAAAAGTAAGTTGAAACACAAAACAATGGATAAAAGTACAAAACAATCGTTAATGTCTTAATGAGAGTTGCCTATTTACATACTTCAAAATTTCAAGATTGTAAAAAATAGGACTAATTTTATTTGAGGAATAATTTTAGTATCTTTATACGAGAATTATATTTTATTGTAAGTATCAATTCTGACAGTCTGAATTTACAAGTGGATTTAACTTATAGCCTTTTAGTTGATTATAAAGTTGAAACTGAAAGAATTTAAATTAAAGTAATCATAAATCATCAGATGAAAGAAATATTTTTTTTTGCTTAGATTAGTTTTATTTTTTCTCAATTATAATTGTTTTTCCAACATAAAATAATTATTTCTGAATTTTGATAATAAAAAATTCTGAATTAATTTTATTCGGACTTATTTAAATGTTAAATAATAATGGATTTTATGATAAATATTTTTTATTCATATCACAAGTTGAAAAATTTGAGCAATTGTTAAATACCGTCTTAGAATGGTATTGACATATTAGAGTTGATCACTTAATCATATATGGTTCAATGGATTAAACGATGGTTAAGTTATAAATTGTATGCATGTTCAAATCTAACCATCTGCTTGATATCCCAATTATTTAGACTGATCCGGATTAACCCACCGCATAAGACTGCAATCTGTTATATGCAGCGTTGTGGACGCTCTTCCTTTTTCGAAAAACGACTTAACATAACAGTTATAATGACGCCAGTCACTTACGTAGTCAAGACGGGGGCTAAAGACTCCAAACAATTTTGGACTAGTCATATGGAAGACGTTTATGAGAAAAAGACTAGACGCGACGTATAATCATGACTAAAAAAACGACTCATCTTTTTGTCCGTCCTTTGCTCGTCTGGGTACATTCATCCTCATACGCATACCGTCGAAATCAGGTGAGTTACTTCATCTTTTTTTCTTTCTGTTACAGTAAAAAGAACAACTATTTAAAAAAAAGACAAAAAAAGCCGTTTGTTA